ACATATATATTTATATATAAATAAATAAATAAATAAATATATATATTGCTATTTAAAGTATGCTGTGTTTGGATAGTCTGGTTTTTGACATTAAGTTAGTTTCAAGTTCCCTATGTACATATTCGGACAGGTCCGATTGAGTATTCTGCACTTGGATTCGATCATTCCTCACTTCAGAGTGCCCTTGCCCAGGAAAGTAAAAATACTAATCTTGCATGCACCCCGTTAGGAAATGTACGTCGTCCGAGAATAGGAACGAACCAATACTTGGTACAGTTGCAAAAGCTTGTAAATTATGCCCTCATCTCTTTCATACTCTGCTGGGTTGTCTGCTTTTGGTCTGAACGATACTATAGAACTTGCACTGTAACTTAAAGAAATTGGTATCTTTGGAGAATATCTCCACCATAGGAGACAAATCATCACTCAGATTCTATTTTCAACAATATCTTATACTTCAAATGACTCATTTATGCCTTGTATTTTTTGTAGATCCTATCTCCACTTTCGGAATCAATTGTCGAATGATCAAAGTAATAAGAAGATTCCATGTAGAGGAATGGAACTTCAGCAATCCATTACATTCAATTACAGGAGAATGGCAAAATCGACTCCGAGGGACCTTTGAGCAGCGACTCAGAAGCAAAAGAGTTCTTCTCGAACGTGCATTACAAGACTGTGACAGATGCACTAGCCATGTTCCAGAATGATGATCTGATCGCCGCTCCTGGGTCGAAGTTCAGGTATGAATATGTCATAAGTATGTTATCAGTATTCTCTGTATTTCAGATTTTTCTCCTCTGTTGGGAGTAGGACTTTCGCAGGACTGTTTAACGTTTTAAGTGATTTCTACAATAAGTTGAACGCATTTCTAGTGTTGGAGCTCACACATCACATTTGTGGTTGACAGAGGAAACTATACGTTTTAACGTTGCAAATTTTGAAAGAGTTAGGAGGAAAAATTGGTGCGAAAAGTGGTTGGAGCGTGCTAAATCTCTACAAGGAACCAAGATTGTACAACACGAATGCGCTTTAACTCAGAGGAGCAGCTACTGTTTGTGTGGTTGCAACCTAAAGATTACACTGAGTGATCATTTTTCCCACATTTGGGCTAATATCCTAGTAGTCTTGTACTACTGATAGAACGTAACACAGATATCGCCGAACTCTGGCAGCGGTGAGCCCAAAATTTTATTTTTGTTGGGCAACTGAAAAATTGTTCATCTTCAGATGAAGCGTGAGGATGAGAGCGGTAATGTATTCTCTATTACCAAGTGAGAATAATCTTTAAAGAGCTTACTAAGCGCGCTTAGGGTGCATAAAACGGTATTTTCGAAGATCCTTCTTAACTATCTTCTAGTGGAAAATCTATTAGGGAGATTGTCCATGGAATGATGCCCTTTTTTAGAATATGATGTTAAATCCGCCGCAAGTCTCTGTAGGCGATGCTCGTGTCGAAGCCGTGGCTGTTTTCATGGTCTGTATTGCGACGTGTACTTCTGGATGGTCAGTGGTGGTAGT